TTATGAGAGTATAACATTATAACATAATATAAAACTCAAAAAAAGTTGATTTTACATGATATTTCCCCTTTAAAACCAGAAAGTTGCACTACAGCTGCTGAATCCCACATTTTTTTTAAAACCGTCCAACCAGTGAAGCCTAATTTGGTCGCAGGCGAGCTCAGGTGTTTGAAAAGACACTAATGCTCTCGTCGTCCTTGGACGTGTTTTGCTGTATCGTAACACCCTGCTTTGGAAGCGTGTGCGCCTGCGGTGGAGCACAACGCTAAGCAGCTTGTATCCCCTAGGCCAGCAATTCGAACAGACTCGAGCGGAGTTCTTGAAAATGTTTTGGAGGTGCAGTTTTGTTGAAATCTTCAAAGCACTCCGCTTCCATTTGTCGAACAGCCTCCCTCAGAAACGCATCCCTCTGATTGGTGAGCACATGAGGTATTTTTGTGTTCAGGCGTATGCTTAAAAGTTTTTTTTTTTTTTTCAGTCCTCTTGATGCAGGAGAGAAAATAATATTACAGGATGAGAAACTGGGTCAGACAACGGGGGTAGATTTCTTGAAGAAATTGGGCTCCAAGACATAAAGGATAGAGGGGTAAAAGAAAGCACACTTGGCAGACAGACGGATGATGGTGGGCTCCCTGAAATGATTTCTGGACAGATATCGCTTGGCTTGGCAGAACCTGACAAACAAAAGGCAGTAAATAAGGCTGTAAGGTAAATAAAGCAATCTGTGGTGAAACCCGCCAGTTTCTCTGTCGGTCTTTTCATCTGAGCGAATCACCGAAGCAAAGTCTGCGTCAAGCCTGAGCAAAGATGTAATATTCCATCTGGCTGGGCGTCACACGGAGCCCGGAGTTGCACATGTGTAAATGCGAAATGTTGAACATGACATTCTGTTTGCGGTTGACACGTAGACCCTATTACAGCATGTAAATGACCCCCCGCTGTGCAAGCTAAGGGTACAGTATGACAAGCATGTTCCAATGTTGAACCCGGTGAGTGTCAGCATGAACATGTGTGGAAGACACAAGTGTAAAACTCAACACACACACACAGAAAAGAAAAAAAAAACTAGGAATAAAAGTAAAAGTTCACAGAGTCTGGACCGAAACAGGGGCTTTGTGAAATTCAACTTCTGCTTTAATAGGTTTTAATGAATAATTTATTAACTTAGAGACCAGTGGTGAGCCATTAGAACAAACCACATTTGGCTCCAAAGAACAATTTGATCTCTTGCAGAGCTCCACAAAAAATCTAATCAATAACTTTGTGTGAAAATGACGACAGCGCGATGAAGCTACGGAGACTCGTTCAGTTTGTATCTGAAGCATCTTTCAAATCTTTGTTTCAGCTTCAGAGCTGCATCCATCTGATGACGTGTCCTCATTTGAGTTCCACATTAACTTTAAGATATTCCAGCTGGTAAAATGAATCTAAGACAGTGACAGCTTGGTACCTTTTACCAGACATCTTTTTGTTGCTTCGCCAGCTCAATGATGCCTTTAGTCGTTAAATCCATTTTGACTTCTTAAAAAAATTGACGCAGCTTGATCTGCTGCRTTCCACTTCACTTTCAAAACCACCTGAGGTGTTTTAACCATACATTTTATTTCACTGATCATTTGTAAAGTGATGTATTCTACATAGGGTTGGGCAATTTTGTGGCATTTAGCCGATAATGAATAAAACGCTGATTAAAAGATGACAATTGTAGTTGCATGTGGCCAATGTTGTGGGCTTTTGGCCTGCATTTTCTGGCTTATGCTGGTTTTTCAGATGCTTAAAGAAGTTCGTAGAGTTAGCATTAGCTGCTCCTGATAGTGATAGTGTAACAAAAAATATGTCATCACATGACAAYARTTAAAGTKCAAAGTGGAAAATATTAATTRTTGAATTTTACTGATGATCAATTGCACAAAATATGATTTTGCCCAAAACTAACTCGTTACATTAAGAAGCAGAGTCTTCAATAATTCATACAACAAATCATCAGCAAACTTTTGTGACCTTTTTGTCAAATGAAGCTATAAATGGCCACTCCATCACACTCCCACCTCTGTGTTTTCAAATGTATCGCCTATCCCACTCATTGTTTACATTTTATGACAATGTGAAGAAGTTACCATGGTAAAGTGACTATGTAATTACCAGCAAGCACAACTGGATCTATATCACAAATTCTGTGTAAATTCATTGCAATACATTACTATATTAATCATTTATTTCAACAATCATTTAAAACAGCTAGATAAAWAAAAATCTGTTATAACTAATGATGATCTAAATCAGTGGTTCCCAAACTTTTTATCTTCTGACCCACAAAATATCCATGGCAAAAACTTGTGACCCCAAATATTACTGGTCTGAGTACATGAACTTCATTAATAACCCTAAAAACACAGGATTTTTGACAATCTAAACAGTGTGTACACAAATATAAATACTTTTTTTTTTTTTACTTATTTTGTGTTTTTGTAATAATTATAGGGAAAATATTACATCTGCTATTATTTTATTACCTTTTAAATTGATTTCTGGAGATTATCCAAGGTGCTTCATGACCCATAATTGGGTCCCAAGCCCAACTTTGGGAACCAAAGTGAGATGGTTCCCAAAATTTTCACTTTTTGACCCATAAAATAACAGTAGCAGAGACCTGTGCCCCCAACTATTTTTGGATGATAAACATTTGCATCAGGTCAACAAAACATGGGCATAGTAACAATATTTTTATACTTCATTTATCCATTTTAAATATACTAACCTCACTCATTTGTAACAACTAAGGCAAAAATGTAATTAATTCAGAAAATCTTTGGGAAACACTGATCTAAATCATGACCGTCATGCATGTTTTAGCTGTTTTCTTGTTTCGGCACACCTGATTCAAAAGAATTATCTTAATGCTATAAAGTTTAGCAGAAGCCAGTTGGTCAAGTCATCATTTATTTGAGTCAGATGTGATGAAGCATGGGGAAAATCCAAAACATGCACCAGCAGGTTGAAGACTGATCTAAACTGGATCCAAAGTCAGTCAATGGTTTTAGTTAGTTAAATAATTGTGACTTCACTTAGTTGATGAATTTTCAGCTAATTTAATGACATATGTATGAATATTTAACAGTAATCTAGTCAACACTTGCAAAACGTTCGTGCACACCTGATTAAACTCTGCAGGATGAAAGTCGTCCACGGCTAAACCATCTTCTCCACAGGTCAGGTTTGTGCAATGAAAACCTAAACATAAAACATAATAAAATTTTACACTGTGTAAATATTACATAATCCAAAACAACAGCTTGTATTAACAGCTAGCAGTGCTAAATTTTAGCATGGTTTAGCAGAGTGCTACATTCCTTGTAGCAATAGCGCAGAAGCCAATATATTCAAGTCAGGTAAATAATTAACAGCCATTACATCGGCTTTATAAGCTACATCTAAAATGTTACTTTAGTTCATTTCTGGGTGTCATTCACATTAAGGTAAAAAGATAAAAATCTGCTTACTTGTGAAAGGAGATATTTCCGGTTTCTATTACGGTACTTCCGTAGCACACCCAGCTAGCTTTTAGGCACTTCTGTAATATATATTTTATACATTCAAATATATATTTTATATAGTATACATTTTATTTGTATTTTTCACAAAGAAAGTATTTACTCAGTCAATACCTACCAAAACGCCAAGTGCAGAAATTAGTTTCGTCCTTTCAGCAGAAGCTAATCGCAAAGTCACGTGACTTATGCGTGCACGTGCTGTCATGTGACCTGTTTTGTTTATCTTTGTTTAATTTGTCCAAATCAAAGTGAATGAGAATTCATCACCTATCTGCTGGTCAACAAATAAATAAATAAATATTCCTAACTTCTATAAATAAGGCCTTAAAACGCTCACATATAAGAAATTTCACATTATTTTCAGAATAAATAAATCCCATTTCTTTCATTTTAAAAATGCCAAATGCTTCCTATTGGAATGTTTGATGTTCTGTGGAGTTGTTAGCAGTAATCAGTATCTCACCTGCAGTAGATTTAGATAGTAGATATTTTCAGTGTTGAAGATCAGGAAGGAGGAGGAGAAAAAGGACAAATCCAAACCAAATTTAAAGCTGCAATCTCAAAAATATAGCCTTTCATGCAAACATTTTATATTTTATTATATAAGCATCAGATATGTTGTTACCTTAGTCACTTATAGAAAAGAAATCTGTGCCATTTTAAGGGATGGAGTTTTAACAGCATAATTCTGCTTTAAATTAATAACATTTCATTAAGTGTCTCCTAATTAGCAGACTTTTTTGCCCAATTAGCAGTGCCACATGATCCATTTTGGTTCAGGATTTAATGTGACAATGTGTTTTCTTATTACTTAGCGATGATGGCCACATTTTAACCTTGAATATTAAAAGCAGCCTGATCACGCCACACTCAGGAGAGAACAGGCTTCTCTAAAAAGGGTCTTTTCCTTTGCTCGGTGGGGGCTTCGTAGCATGAATGGCACTGTTACATTAGTGCTGATTTACACCGTGTCATCAAAGAACACATCATGTTTGTTTGCTCTAAAAGCCGTCTGTTTCTCCCTCTTTTGATGATCCCATTTGGAGGTTCAACTCTTGTTTTCAGGCAGCCTCCAAAAGATCGAGCTCCGACGCCACAAAGTACCCTAATTGCCGTATCGACGATGACAGCCTTTTTTCTTCTTTCATCCCCGAACCCACTCCATCAGCCGCCCCTCTGTCCTCCCTGAAATCGCTCATATCTGCTCCTCGGCAACAATAGCCAAAAAATGGCCAACCTTACTTGGATTTTCTTCCCTATTATTTCTCTCTTTGTCCACCACACACAAACACCTATGTTCAATAACCATACAATGTCCCCATTTTTCAAGCGTCTTCCACTCGACCCATCTCTGAAAGCTGGAGGTCATGTATTCATTTTAGACGGCACAAAAGATGACAGAAAAGAAATCCAATCGTGGGTAATTTATCACGATATAAAACTCCAGAGTTTCTGGAAAATTAAACCGTGGGAGATGAACTGTCAGCGCCGGGGCTCGATTCGAGCCTCCGCTGCCCCGTCCCTAAGGAGCTGGGATGTTACATGTTGCTTCAGGTCAATAAAGGTAATTGATAAGCTCTCATATGGATATATAGTGATGAATGAAGGATGTTTATAGTGTAATAAATCAAAACCACCTCTGGAGCTGTGAATGGACAACTGTATGCCCCACCTTAATGGGAATAAGCATAAACTCATCGCCTTTAATCAATGGCAGAGACGGGCACCTACAGGGCTGTTATTGGTCCATAACTTACGCTTTATGAGCACCTCAGCTGAGGCGGGAACAACATTGTATGGGCTCGCCTTCTCATAGATTATTGGAAAATCCACTGATCTGTCAACAAAAGTGTTAGAAACATGGCATCAATCTTGAAAGTAKATCTTTAAAAGCAATAAAAGCATATTTTATTACTCATTATCGGAACAAATAAAAGAAACTTGGTGTTTTGGACTGTTTCTTTCAAACTTTCTGTTCTAAACAATGAAAAACTCCTGCCCTCTGGTGGTTAAAAGATATTGTGCAAAAATATACATACTTGAAAAGAGCTTTAATATAAAAAAATAATAATAATAAACACAAAGATATACAGTAGTACTGCAACATACACAACAAACATTGCAAATCAACATTCAGTGGTGCGGAAACAATCATAATATTAAATCTTTGGTATTAGAAGTGAACTTATTCACAAAGTCAGCACCTGTCAGTTAATTTATACAGATCATTTGTCAGCAGTTTGTGGAGAAAAAAAAAACATTTTATGTGCTAAACGTCACCTCCTTTGGTTCAGCGTTTCTTCACATCCTCGGAGAACGTGGGCGGCTCCATAGATGATCTACGAGCAGAAGCATCTTAAAGAGGTGTTTGAAGCAGATCTCTGAGCTTTCTGTGTAAAGTTAAAGTTTTGATTWAAAAAAAAGAAGAAAAAAACACTCTGCATGGATCGAAAGTTTCAATTCAATCAACTTTTGAGTTCCAGTGTCACAAAAAAGACATTTGAAAGCCGACCAACTATCACAGCCTAGTAAGACACTATATATATATATATAGCCCTAAACAATAAATTTTACCCATATTCTCTTGATATACCTCTAAATATTAAAAAAATTGATCCAGTTGTAAAATTTATTTCAGACCTGAGCCCTCCAGAAAGCCTTTTATCCAGTTTTATGACCTTTTTTTTTTTTTTTTACCTCTTTTAATAAGAGTTTCACAAATTTCCCCAAGAGGAAAACATTTCATATTGCATTTTAAGACTTCTCCAATATGGAAACTACCTTTTACTTCTGCCAGTAAACAAAAGTACGACAAGAAGAATGAACAAATAAAAGAGGTTTTCTCAAAATAAAAACATTTTGTATTAAAATGAACTAAAAAATAACTTCTGGGTTCGTCATCAGTGTCTACACGGTTCTGGTTCGCGCAGGTTTCAGGGTTTTTACGTCATCCACCTCCAGAGCGGTTTCTACGAGGGGAGCGGTTATTAGTCTCACACTGACACAATCCCAGCTGGCTTATTGAGCTTCAAAGCAGCAGAGCAGAATCTCAAACCGTGGTCGTCTTCTGTATCAAAGTCTCACGGCTCAACAGTCCTGTCAGTTTGCCAGGTAGGAGCTTGTTTACCAAGCTGTAGCTGCTCGCTTTTCTGTGCGGCACGCTCCGAGAAAAGAAAAGAAAAAAAAACATAAAAGATGCTCAAACCTTTGGAAAGTTAGCTTGTGGAGTCTTCTGTCTTTTTTACCGCTCTTGTGGATGTTCTCCTGATGTTGCCTAAACTGAGAGAGAGTCTCTTAGTGAGGAGAGTGTGCGATTTGCCACAGTAGGTGTGCGTCGTCTTCTGTAGCTCCTCCCCCAACGGGTGCAACAAAGAAGCGACGGGGTCGGTGCCAAAAGAATACTGGAACAAAGCAAAAGGTTCGTTAGATTCATGGTGAGGTTTTGAGGGGTTTGTTCAACTTTGACGACTAATAAATGGAAAAAAGCCCAGCGCAGCGAGGCGAGCGGGGGGGGTCCTGTGGGGACGACGAATCTGCGAGGCTCAACATAAAGTGCTCTGCTGTGTTGGAGTGCGTTTAAAGCTATAGGCTTATAGGGTGCAGTAATAACCCGAGAGGTCTTCCCAGTAATGAAGGGGCCTTTACAACGCTCCGAGGAAATCAAAGGGGGATTAACATTTTTATGCCAGCTCATTTGCTTGGCGGCCGGCTCCGTGATACAGCGTCACAAAGAGAATAGTGGGGTTTTTTAACGAGCGGACGCACGCCCCGCCGCTCGTAAAGCTGCATTTACAGTTGTTGTATTGATTCGGTGCTGCTGACGGTAATGCTCGCGTGCAGATTCCAGCTCTAAATGCGCCGGCTGTAAAAAATTAACAGCTGCTTTTCGGGCTCGAGAGAGTGGGGCGGGGTCCGAGATGCACACAGAGAGGAGTCCTGCTGGTTGAGCTTCTATGTCTTATATCAGGAATACAAGCCGATGGAATAATGATCAAAGTTAGAAAACTACGCAGAGAAATTCAACCCAAGTCAAATATTAACTCAGGATTTAACAGAAGATGAGAAACGGCTGCAGATTTGCGGTGATTAGAAATGCATTTGATCAAAGCGATCAGTGAAAACCTTTTCTACGAGAAAATCAGTTTGATGTTTCTGTTTCAGCATTTTAGTGGGAATCTACTTTAACTAACGAGCTTCTCTTAAACTCAGTTTCATGTGTTTTACCCATTTTGAAAGTAAAAATTGAGAGAAAATGAAGGATATTGTAGCTCCACTTCAATTACACGACTTCAGGGTTCCCCTACAGTTTAAAGCAAGTAAAATTTAAGACTTTTTAAGACTTTTTAATGCCAAGTAAAATTAAATTTAAGACTAATTTCATAATAAATACAAATGACAAAAAATAAAAACTGGCAGAAACCCATGAATCGAAGTATTTTTGGTTGAAGTATTCAAAAATTACTAATAGACCAATTGTTTTTATCCATATCTACCTGCCTTTTCATCAACTATAGCAGAAACATTCTTAGCAGTCAGTTTTAACCTTAATTTAGTTTCTGGAAATCCTCTAACGTCCCAAAATTTGGAGTTTTAGGACCCACAGTGGGGTCTTAACCCCAATTTGCTGTAGATGAAACCTTAAAGTGCCCGTGACATCAATTTTTTTGCAAGTGAACGCATTTTTGGAAAGACAACATTAACACATTACAAAACAAATTTCACATTGCTCAGATGAACAACTGAGATATTTTCATGTGAAATAACAGGAAGTGATGTCAAAGGGGAACATCTGAATGAGAATATTTTAAAAAATAATTTTTACCAATTATTTTAATATTTGAGATGAATTAAAATCATCCTACTTACAATGTGTTAACATTTTTAAGACTTCTGAAAGATTGATTTAAGACATTTTAAGGCTAATTAAGGCCTTATTTTTGGATTGATGAACTCAATGCCTTTTAAGACTTTTTAAGGATCTGCAGGAACCCTGGACTTGTATCAGTGTTTCCCCTTTAGTATTGGCCTTGGGAGGGTGTGGGGCACAGAGTGATGATTGACAGCAGAAACATTAAAAGTATTTATTAAGCTAGTAGCATATATGACCCCCGCATGTACGCAAAACAACAGTGCACCAGAGCAGATTTCATCAGAGCTAACTAAGCTCCTATGTTGAATAGTTTTTGAGTTATAAGCAATTTTTTTTAGTCCAGACACCCACTTTACAGACGGGGTGGGTCATATAACTTGCATTAGTTGAGTCTTATATATATCGCTCATTTAAATATTAAATACAGGGTTCCCACACCTTGGCCAACATCGAATTCAAGGACATTTCAAAGACTTTCCAGTACCAATTTCCTCAATTAAAGAACCACGCGCAACAGCATTTACCTACTGCTACTGCAGAATGTTACCAATAAACAGGTCTAATATCATGTAAATTCAATGAAAAACTGAACAACATGGAAGTTGTTAAGTCAGAAACAATGACGTCAGGTTACTGTAATCCTGAGTTATCCACTGCAACAAATGTAAGTTGTTTTTTTTATTATTAAATTGTATAAAAAAAATTTTTAAAGATGATGAAAATCAGTCATGTGAATAGAGAATTTCAATTCCCAAAAAAACATTCAAGGACTTTCAAGGACAAGTGTAATTTTTGGCTGTTTTCACAAACTTTCCAGRRCCTTGAAATTGTTTTTTTTAATTCACAAACTTTCAAGGATTTCAAGGACCCGTGGGAACCCAGCAAATATGTTTAGTCATAAAACAAATTTCAGATATCTGGAATGTTAAGTGTGGTGAAGCCAATTAAATGTGAAACTGACCTGCCGTACACGTATTTCGGCTGTATACAAGAAAATATTGAAACTTCCTGTGGTAGTACATTTTGGGAATAATGGTCAAAATATACTCCCGTAGTTAATACGACCCCTCAATTTTATATATTGGGTGGGTGGGGGG